ATTGCCATTTCATCAAGATCATTTCACTAATGATTCTCAAGTTAAAAAATCCTATATAAATCTCGCAATGGTCTGCAAATGCTTTACCAATTACCACTGCAGCAGTACCGCACTATCGTCTACGGTCCAACGATTTTGTTTCTCACAAGTTCGATACGGAGTATTCCTTAGTGTGATCCATTTAGTTCTTTTTTGTTAATATTGATTTTTTTCCTCATGATTTCTGTAGCTTTACCATTCAACCACTTAGAACAGGCCGGCAATAAGCTTCAACAGGTGGAAAGGACTACTGAATTTCAATATTATGGTACTCTTTACAATAATTATTCCCCTTTGCAATTTAGACTACTGGATTTATATATATCTAATCAATTACACAATTAATTGAAAATTTTGATATATAATGCAAGTACGTAGTATCAATTTGTTAGAGTTTTTAGTTCAATAAAAGTAGTTTAAAATGTCTTTAGAAGTAAAGCGAGACTGTTTAAGGAATTGGGAACTGGATTCGAAAAAATCTGGGTTAAATAAAATTTTATGTATTCGGTATAGCAAGCTAGAGTCTGGGTTATCACCTATACCCATTTCAAGATTCAAGAGGGTATGAGTTCAATTTTATGGTAGGATTTTGAACCCATCTTTTGGTATTTGCCTTGAAAGTTATAGAGATGGAGTAAGTAAAACATCACATATTTCTTTAATCTAGAAAATAACTAAAAATCATCAGTGAGATAAAAGTTCAAAATTTATTCGAGTTTTATTAATTTAATAAAAAGCACAAACACTAATCACGGGAGAAAATAGAGAACATAATAAAGCTAAAAAGAACATAAAGATTGACTGTATTGATCGATAATAAGAGTATCAAATTACAAATTTGCATTACTTCGTTAACATATACTGTCGTATTTGTTAGTGTAATATTAATATATAACGTACACAATTGAGGTTTTATTTCATACAGGTCGGAACACTTGCAACGCAATTACAAAGCAGATGGAGTATATAAATATAGACCTGTTTCCAAGTTCTTACATATAATACTGACCGAAAATGAAGATGTCCTTTAATCTAGAATTTCATTTAAAATGCACAAGGACTAGAGCTAATCTAATCTATGAGCCTGTTTGGTAGCACGAAAATCGATTGATTTGGCTGATTTTGCTGAAATTTATTAAGTTCTGGCTGAATTGGCTGCATTGGCTGATTCTGCTGATTTAAGAAAAAATTATTTTTAAAATATATTTTATTAATAAAATAAAGAAAAAATTATATGTAAAAATAGCTTAAATGATCATCTACAGTAACTTTAGCCAATACGGCCAGAAAAGTAACTACAACCTTACTTTTTCTGCTTATTACACAATTCAACGCGCGAAAGCAAAAATTACGTGTTTGGTGAAAAAGTTGGCTGAGAAGCCTGATAAACCGAAAAACAGTGTTGTCAAACGGCCTCTATATAAATTGGATCATGTAGGACTTTGGAGCATATTAACCGCCGCATGAGGATTCACATCGTTAATTGTTTTTTACATGTGAATCGGGCTATATAAACTCTAGAAAATATGTGAATCTGGATAATTAATGTCATATGTTATGTTGGGATAAACTCCCCCCGTCCCAAGTCCCATATTTATCTTCTGAAGTGCAAATGGCACATAGATTAAAATAGTGATAATTGTAAGGTGGAGAGTTGTACACATGAGAAAGAAATGTGTAAGAATGTGAAAAGAAATGTTTTGAATCTCAAAATCTTTGCCAAAAAAAACAAAGAGAAGATAATTTTGATATGGACGAAAAATGAAAGTATGAAGATAATTCAGAGGTAGAAAAATGAGAGAATGGGGCTCTTGGAGTCCAATACATGAAGACTAGCATTATATTGGAGAGAGATAACGTCGAAACATCTTAAATAGTGAAATAAAATAAAATAAAATAAAAATAAAGTAAAATAAATAAAATCCCATTCATATATAAAAATAATACAATGCTAATTTCTACATACAAACTCAGTCATTTACGCATTTAAAAAAATAAAACTCATACCAATCTATCAATTAAGTTTTAATTTTAATTTATACCCGTATTTGTCAGTAATACAAAGTATAATTTCGAAATGTTTGATTGTTTAAAGTATAATTTCGAAATGTTTGATTGTTTAAATGATCACATTGCAATCAGACCTATATTTTTAACTCCACAAATACATATTCCAATTCTTAAAAATAGTTTTAGCTGGACATGCGCATTATCATCTATATATATTATATGAAAATTGCCTACCATTTTCTCATTTTACGCTTTTGATGATTGTGTACAAATACAAATATGCTCTTTATTTGGTTTTTATCATTATTATAATTATCATTATTATAATAATTCATGTCTATATTTTGTCTCGTGCATCGCACGGGTGTAATACTAGTGGTATATGCTAGTAACATACTCCGTATAATGAAGTCCCAAATGCAGAAGAGTCCCTTTCAAATATATAGAATCTATTTAAAGACACAAACCTACCTTATTATTACACCTCGAGTAGGAGGAACTCCGTGCAATTTGTTATGATGGTAAATACTCTTGTAAGAATATATCGTTGGGAAGATACTATTTGCAAGAATATATGTCAATTGCAACAGAGTAGGAACTTGTATAATGATGACTGCGATCTTAATGAACAACTCGTTTGCGAACAAAATGATACTCAATGTTGATGTATTTATTACGAGCATACAATAACAAATGTGAAACAGAAACACTACCACAGAATAATAAAACAAACGATTGAATGGTCAGGGATACCTAGATGGAACAAAATGGACAGAATATGAGAGTATCTTGTCTCGTGTAAGCAATAACTGCATATTTAGCTTCAATGGAGGACCTGGAGAAAATATGTTGTTTCTCAAACCGCTAGGGTACCAAATTAGGGCCAAGAAAAATAGCAAAGAGTGAGATAGAGGGATTGCTATCACAACAACTAGTCAAGTCAACATCAGAATAACCAAAGATAATATGAGACGACTTTGATGACTGGAGAAATAGATACTGTGTGGAGAACCCTTGCAAACACTTGAAAATACGTTTTACTCACAAGATGTAAAGTATTCATGCATAAATTTGGAAAACCAAGTGAAGAACATTTATGCAATATCATATTGAGTCATAGTTAACCATTAGAAAGAACCTACCTTCAATACTTTGTACTCCCTCCGTCCCAATTTGTTTTGCAAAGTCAACAATTTTTGGTCAACAATTAATTCAATTTTTAATAATTAAAATTTACATATTCAAAACCTGCATTAAAATCTCTTCAAAATTATAAACTCCAAATTAGAATATAATTTAAAATTGACCTCCTAATTAAGTGAACAAAACAAGACTATTTGACTAAGAAAAGTCAAATTTGCAACTCTTTTTGGGACGGGGGGTAGTATGATATACTACAAGCTCAACATTTGTTATACTAACCCCGACTAGGGATGGACTGGGCCGGGCCGAACCGGCCCGGAACCGGACCGGCCCGCTACTGTGCGGGCCCGGACCGGGCCCGGTTGGCCGGTTCCGGGCTTTTAGCCCGTGTTGGCGGGTCGGGCGGGCCGGTTCCGGGCCCTTTTTTTTGTTGAACCGGCCCGGGCGGTTCGGGCCGGGCCCGGTTCTTTTTTTTTTTTTTTTGGTTTTTTCAATTTTTTTTCTTTTCCTAGGGTAGGGCTGGGTGTTTTAGGGAGGTTTGGGGCGTGGGGGTGAGGGGGGGGGGTTAGGGAGATAACAAGAAATTAAAAAAAAAAAAAAAAAAAAAAACATTGAACCGGGCCCGGCCCGGCCCGGTTAGGCCCGGACCCGGTATCAACCCGGGCCGGTTCCGGGCCCATGTAACCCGAAAAAAAGCCCGCCCGGGCCCGCCCCGGAACCGGAACCGGACCGGCCCGGAACCGGACCGGCCCGGGTCCATCCCTAACCCCGACCATGCTATGAAGGGGGTGTGCATACTGAAATAAGAATGCGAATGTGAAAATGAGTTAACAAATCAGGCATGTATTTTTGTTGAAAGAAAAACAGACTCTGACAAGTACACTCAATATGAACATCAAGAACGATCTCCCAAATCTTTCATAGAAATGTATTTGGCATGTAAGGCAGCATTGTTGTATGAAGACGGTTGAATCATCGAGTTCAACTAGTTTTATAATGTACTTCAATTGAATCGTAATGTTTAGAAATTAAAGACGTTTTCATAAACCTTAAATTGAATAGAGTTTTATTCGTAGATGTCCTGTTTAATCGAGATGATAATAATCTGATTCATTTGATCGAATAAAATAATAATATATGAAATTAGTGATGTTTAATTTGAGTACCCTGTAATTAATAATTTAGGATTTAATAAAAAACATTTAATACGTAAGGATTTTATAGCAAAATCCGAGAATGACAATTTTTATAAGTGGATTTGTTAGCAAAATAAGTAAAATTTGATTCAGAATACTCTATTAGTATTAAGTAAAGTGTATAGTTTAGTATGAGCTACATAAAATCATTTATGATGTTTTTAATTCCACTGATTCTAGCCTCATACCATACTCATATAAGACATTACCAGCCATACGATACCATATCATATCATACCATACCATATCAGACTTGCATACGAGAATAGTCCATATAAGATTTAGAGATACGAGAATATGTTAGACTAGATTAGGTCGTTGGGCTTAAACTGCCCCGACTAAACGAGACTTGTATAATACTCCCTCCGGTTCTAGATAATCTTTACACTTTCCTTTTTTTTTGTCAGTACCAGATTAATCTTTACACTTCCTTATTTGTCTTACAAATCTATACGAAATAATTGAAAATAGTGTCAAACAGTGTACTCTGCACTAAAGTCAAATTTATTTCCTTAATATGTGTGAAGTCAAAGTGTAAAGATGATTCAGAACCGGAGGGAGTACGTAGTTGTAAAATACAATAAAATAGACCTTACCAGATCATACCGATCACACGAATCAGAATATTTCAGTTCAATTTTTAATTACAATGTAATTACTTATAACTAGAATGGATTAACATGATTGAAAACTGATCTACGATAAAAAAAAATGATTGAAAACTGATCTACATGTTCAATATTGGATTATTGGACCTTTGAGAGATTAATTGGACTGTGGGCTGGGAGTTAATCCAAAAGAAAAAAAAACAAAAACACAGAGAGAGAAGGAATTAGGTAAAAAAATATAGATCAAGAGAAATAAGTGGCAGCAACCAAGAATGGATCGCCGGTCTTCTTCTTTGAAAAAACAACTCTCGAGGGCGATCACCGCCATTGATGCCGATGACGAGCACCTTCCAATACTATTGGGCAATCACCGCCGTCACGACGCATCACCTTCCTCCTCCAATGAGAGCTCTCCGATCATGAGGCCCCCATCGTCCCCCATTCACCCCCACGACGGCAGAGGGGAGGTCATCGTCAAGATTGACGGAGATCACGGCGGCGAGATGCGGATGGGCGACAGCGGCGGCGATGACTTTGAATTCCAACACACCCCCAGCAAGGATGTGGCGGTCGATCCGCCGTCGAGGCTCATAGGGCAATTCCTTAATAAACAGAGGGAGGCCGGCGTCGAGATGTGCCTTGACATGGACATGGACATGGATGAGCTGAGTCATCACCACCGTCACACCACCGGTGCATGTGCATGTCCGGCCAATTTCCCGTCATCTTCGCCGGAACCTTCATTCCACGTCAACCGTTATAACAGCAACCGGATCCCGGCTTCTAAAGAACTAAAAGTCCAATTCATGGACGAGCAGTCAGGGGATTCCACACCTCCCAGCAGAGCGGTAGACATTGAGGCCGATCATCACCGCCACCGCCACCACAATTCCATATCGTCTACCCGCTCATCCTCAAGCGACGATGACGATGATGAGATGATGGAACGACATCAGCCACAACACAGTCGGAGGAGGACCTCCGACAGCAAGACGTTTAGCTTCAATAACAATAACAATAACATAGCAGAAATCGGGGCCGAAGGCGGGGGAGATGGACACGTCGTGAAATGCACATCGTTTCAACGGAGAGGTAGTTTCATGGGCGGGAGGATCATAAACAAAACAAAGTCAAGGCTAATGGACGACATGGTTGTCGTCCCGGACGTAGTGGTGACCGAGAAGAAGTCGGGGAGGTTATTCGGGAAGTCTCAAATAATGCGCTCATCCGGACTTATGATGGGAAAGTCACCAGAAGAGGAAGACGACGACCCGCTTTTGGATGACTTCGACATCCCAGACGAACTAAAGAGGTCAAAGATAGACGCGCTAACCCTAGCGCAATGGATTAGCCTTATCATCATCGTGTCGTCATTGATTTGCACGCTCTCCTTCCCGAGACTAAAGAACTACCGCATGCGTGGACTGAGGCTATGGAAGTGGCAAGTCCTCATCCTCGTCCTCATATGCGGGAGGTTAGTCTCGGGATGGGCAATCAGAGTGGCCGTCTTCTTCATAGAGAGGAACTTTCTATTAAGAAAAAGACTCTTATATTTTGTGTATGGGGTAAGGAAGGCTGTTCAAAACTGTCTATGGTTAGGTCTTGTCCTCGTTGCATGGCATTCCATGTTTGATAAGAAAGTAGAAGGCAACAATGACTTTCTCAGGTCGGTCAACAAGATCATGGTATGCATGTTGATAGGCATCACTCTCTGGCTACTAAAAACACTAATGGTCAAAGTCCTAGCCTCCTCCTTCCACGTCAGCAAATTCTTTGACCGGATTCAGGAATCACTGTTCAACCAGTACCTAATAGAAGCTCTGTCGGGCCCACCCCTGAATGAGATTCACTGTCACCAGGAGGAACAGGACAAGGCCATGGAGGAGGTGTGGAAGCTCCAGAACGCCGGAGCGAAGTTGCCGCCGGAGCTCAAAGCAAATGCCCTTAAAGACTTGAAGAGCAACAGTAACAAAGTCCTGATCGGCGACGGCGGCTGTGGAGGCGCAACGCCGGCGAGGGTCTCCGGCGTCATTTCTAGCTTCAGGGGTCCGGTGGTGGACGAAAAGCGTAATACCCACCAAGGAATAACGATTGATTTTCTTCACAAGTTGAACCCAAAGAATATTTCGGCTTGGAGTATGAAGAGGATGGTGAAGATGGTCCGGCATGGGGTTCTCTCCACTCTAGATGAGCAAATACAGTGTACGGCTCAAAATTATGAATCCAATCAGATTAGAAGTGAATATGAGGCTAAATTGGCTGCGAGAAAGATATTTCATAACGTCGCCAAACCGAAGTCCAAGTAAGTAATGAATTTAAGTATACCTCCCTCACAAATTAAACTCTTGTTTTAACTTTACATGCTTATTAAGAAAGTGAGAAATGTCTGATTTAAAGTTGTATAAAGAGAGGATGCAGAGACAAGTATCAGTGAATGACAAATTCTTTGCTAAAAAGACAAATCCAAAGTAGGACGGATGGAGAATGAAAAAAAGAAATAATTTTGTGACGGAGAGAATATCTTTTACCTTATTTCCATATACGGGCTCTCTTTATCTTTTTTTTTTCATTAAAGTATTGTGACACTCTGTACTGCACTATATAAATAAGGCTCTCTTTAGTAATACCAAAATTGATTAAATCTATTGCTAAATGGGCACTAAGACTTTCTTTAGTAAAGGAGGTATTGAATTGAGAGATTAGTAGAGTTCAGAAGTCAAAATGTATTGTTTTTTTCCTTACTCTTTAATGACTGTCAATTGATCCAACATGGTGTATTGACTCGTAGGCACGCCTCTTCTTGTTAGTTTCTAAAACTGGTTATTGGAGTGGTGTGAAATGAATAAACGTGTTATGTGTAGAACCACAAAGAGAATAACATGAAATAGTTGAAGATATTCCGCAGCAAATTAAAATTAACTTGACCAAAAGCTAGGCTTGCCTAATCACCCTAATGCCCTCTTTGTCAAGGAAACCTTATTTAAAATCTACCACAAATCCACAATAAAGTAAATAAAGTAATTAGCAACATATGAAATAAAAATGATGCTAATATTAATGAATTATTTCCACTTTTGGTCCTATGACTTTTATGTCATTTCCATATTTAATCCACGTCTTTCAGTTTATCCATTTTTAAGACTTGACTAATGTTTCTTGACCATTTGTTGTCCTTCTCCGACGATTTTAACCACCATTGTTGCCGGAAGGACCATGTATGGTCGAAAACACAATACTCATGTATCAAAAGAAAGTGGTCAAAGTCAAAGGCGTGGACCAAATGTGAAAATGACATAACATTCATATGACCAAAACTGGAATTAATTCAATATTAATCTCTAAATTAAACTTATGTTTATGGAGTTCTTCATTGGTTGCTCACTTTTTTCACTTATTGATACAATTTTCGTTTGATTTTGCTAGCCAGGGTTTGCATCTCAAACGTAATTTCTATTAGATTTTTAAACGTGAACTTCTTTATCCCGTGTAGCCCAATAATCTACTACTTACGGAGTATTACTTTAAAAGTTTGGTCTGACAATTTTTTTAAGCTTCCCCTAATGAGAAGAGGTAGGACAAAATGTAATATTCTTGTCAAGGTAGCGACTAGTGTGTAGAATGTGTGCGTGAAATTATCAAGTGAACTGTTTCTCTCCAATTTCTCTTCCACCTTGAAGTTATGTACACAATTTCTCTTCCACTACTCAATTACTCATAAGATAATGGAATGATCAAGTGAATAATATATAAACTTGTGATCTAGAAATTTGGATTGGATTGAGTTGGGGAGTAATTCCACTAGGTTTAAACATTAGTGTGGTGGTTAAGTATGAAAAATGAACATATTTACTCTAAAAAGTTAGCAAAAAATTAAATTCTCTAAACTTTAAAACACCATAACCGTAGGTTTTACCCTTTCATGTGAATTGTGTACCGGCATGGACCCTTGAACAATGAATCCATTTATTCATTTCATGTCATTATATGTGTGCATAATATGTGACATATATTTTTGCGCATGCAGTTCCATCTACTTGGAGGACCTGAGGCGGTTTTTGCGAGAAGAGGAGGCAGTGCAGGCCATGAATCTTCTGGGCGGCTCACACGAATGCAAAAGAATTAGGAAAGCAGCCCTTAAAAACTGGGTGGTAAGCTTATCATCTATCTTCTGTCTCTATAATAAATCTTCTTCCAAGAACTTTTTCTAAGCTAGTTCCTCTATAGGTATTACTATGTATTTTATTTGACACACGCATGCATGTGTCACAAAATGGTACACTACTAGGAGCTAGCATTATAATAGAGAAGTAGAAGTTGACGATTTTCGCTAGTAATTAGTAACTTATACAAAGTATATATTCATGGTCAAAGGTGTGCATCGGCAATTGTAAAAAGTTGAATGTTACACTTATTTAGAAACCGATGAAGTATTAGATCAATTTGGCATGGGTATGCTTGTTAGATGGTTAATGAAGAAATTTATTTGGACCTTTGGTTAATGAAACTTTAAACTTGGTATAGGAGAAGGGGCTTAAAATACCTCCAAGACCTTTATTTCAAAAAAACTTTCGTTTTTATTAGTGGGCCTTGATCTTGGGGTTGCCCATATCCATATGGTGGGTACTTTGTTGGGCATTTTCCATGACTTTAGAGTCTTCGAGTCTTAAAAACAAAAGTTTTTACTAAACTTGTTGTGTGGTTCAAGTTGGCCGCTTGCATACCTTAATGATGAGGAATATCAAATTGTTTACATGGTTTGAATGTGATTGATCTTATCTTAAATATTTGGTGCGACCATTTTAGTTTTAGTCTACTCTAAGTTTGAGAATTATGGTCAGTTATAATCTGATTTGGGACAAAATAAGTCCCCGTCAATATACTCATAGCCCGTCAACATACTCATAGAGACGTCTTAATTTGTTAAAAAATACTCCGTAATTCAATATTTTCAAACGTTGTGTAAGATTTTATAAGGGAGCGGAAGTTCTAGATAACAGTATAACATTATTTGACTACCTAGAGTTCTTTAGAATCCTATGAAGTTATTTAGAGATACATAATACGGAGTAATGTTCTCCAACTGTATGCAAAATTGCCCAGATTTCTGTAGAATCATGATATGAAGTTAATTAGGCATACGTAATATTCTCTAAGTATGTGCAAAAGATTGTGCAAAATATAAAAATTAAATAGGGGTAACCTTTGGGAACAAAGTTACCCTTATTCTCTTAGTAACTTTTGGAAAATGAAAATTAAGGATATAAACCTTATATCCCTATTCTCTAAGTACCCTTAGCTTATTCCAAATAAAAATAAGTACTACGTATATACTTATTCTTTAGGAACAAATAAAAATACTTTTCTAGCTATATCCAAAAGGATATAAGAATAAGTATATACTTAATAATTAATAAGATTATTTTCATTTTATATTTAGGAACAAAGTTACCCTTATTTTATGTCACAAAAGGGTAACTTTGTTCCTAAATATAAACCATAAGAATATATTTACACCTTTGTAAACCTTGGGGGCATATCCTCACCTCAAGGATATATATTGTTTTAAAGATTTACGCTATAATACAAAGTCATATGTGTCTTTGTGTTGCCAATTGTGTGAAAGGTCACATTATTGTTTCATCAATATCATTTAAGTATTTTATCTAAAATGGGAATAAAATAATGTGGTTTCCACTAATAATAGGTCAATAATATTATGTATTATATCTAAACAGGAGTAAGTATGGTAATCTTCTGCCATACTGATTGTGATCTGATAATGATCAAATATGAGAGTATTATTTCAAGATATGAGCACTTTACTTCTATTTAGGAGAAAGTATATTACTATCATTTAGAGAAACTTTCAATTTCGAAAATTTCCAATAATTTTAGGGGAAAAAATTGTTGTAACTACATACGGAGTATAATGGAATACCGCCTTAAAAATCTTTATTTTCATAGTTAGTATCAATTGATTGATGGAGTTATGTCTTAATCTTGCTTAAGCATGTGGAACGATGTATTGGTGTAGGTCAACGTGTTCAGAGAAAGAAGAGCACTAGCACTGACCCTAGATGACACAAAGACAGCGGTAAAAAAGCTACACCAGATGTTAACCGTGATAGTGGGAGCCATCATCTTCCTCATCAGCCTTGTAATTCTAGGGTTCGTGACTGGTAGAGGGCTGATGTACATAAGCTCTCAGGTGGTGATCGTCGCATTCATTTTCGGGAACTCATGCAAGACGGTTTTCGAAGCGATCATATTCCTGTTCGTGATGCACCCCTTCGACGTCGGAGACCGGTGCGAGGTGGACGGAGTTGAGATGGTGGTGGAGGAGATGAACATCTTGACGACGGTGTTTCTCAGGTATTATTAAGACCCGAAGTTCCATACCATAAGGTCAACCCTATTAGGAGGATTAGCTCATATCTTAATATATAGCACCCTCCTCACGAAGTGCCTGGGTTGTGCTTTCATTCATTTTTTCGTCGGTTCGTCATTATCATTTTTTAAAATCATGTCGTCATTTTTCATAAGGGGGTGTGTGACTTCAACAGGTATGACAACCTGAAGGTACATTTCCCAAACAGCACACTGGCGATGCGGCCGATCGGGAACTTCTACCGGAGCCCGGACATGGGTGACTCAGTCGACTTCTTAGTCCATGTAGCGACACCCATGGATAAGATTCGGGTGATGAACCAACGAATAGTGAGTTATGTTGAGAGCAAGAAGGATCACTGGTATTCGGGTCCCATGGTGGTTTTGATGAACATTGAAGACATTAGCAAGTTGAAAATGTCGGTGTGGCTTAGACACAGGATGAACTTTCAAGACATGGGTGAAAGGTGGTTGCGAAGGGCTCAACTGGTTGACGAGATGGTTAAATTGTTTAAGGAATTGGACATTGACTACAGGCTCTATCCTGTGGACATTAACGTCCGGGCTATGCCTACCATTCAGTCCACTCGACTTCCACCAAAGTGGCAGCCTCCATCCCCCCATTCTGATCCATCACTTTAATTTGACAGTACATGTATATTATTTTTTAATTATTACTGTATTATTAGGGAGTATCAATATGATAATATTTCATGTAAACTGTAACTTTTACATTATAGATGCTATATTTCACGTAGTATGGCAATTGCAATCATTACTAAATTTTGAAGTTACAAATAAATGGTTCCATGCATGGCAGTTATCCCCATCTTTTTATGAAAACTAGAGCAATGTGTCATTCCATGTGTTACTCTGGACTCTTTAAAAGTACTAAGAAAATGATATTGCACCCTTAGGGCATCTCTAATGCATGCGTGGATTGGTGTTCCAACTCAGCAAGTGCACTTTCTATAATAAAATCTACTCTCCCAACATGTTTTTCATCCTCCAGATTTATGCATAATCCTTATAAACCCTAGTATACTAACTGAAAAGAAGATGTTACATCTCATCTGAAACTTCTATTCCATCTGTGAAAGAGAAAACATGATAGGTCAGTTACGCTAGCTCATCCTTGTGGAAATGTTTGGAGTTCCTATCAAATATTTTCACCAATGAAAGCTTTGTCTATATACCTTACCCTCTCCCCCCTTCTCTCTCTATTTCTTTTTTATTGAATTATTTGAATGTTTCTATTTGACTCAACTGATGATGATGCCAAATTTGGGGTTATACATGATAATATTTGTGTTTACAAGTTATGTGGTTGTGTAATTTTTGTGTGTTAAGATACATGTTTTGAGGTGACATGATTGTATCAATTGTCACCCATGGTTATTAATGTTGGTGAGAACTTCGGTACCCATTTAAAAAATGGGGTACTGTACTTACCATTCATTTGATTGGTCCACATAGGTATATCATTTTTAATTTAGACTTAAATAATTCAACTGCAATATTTTGATTGGTCCATTTGAACAAAGGTACGGTACCTTTTGGGTACCATAGAATCTACCATTAATGTTTGCTACCATTATGATGACAATATTCATGTATGATTGGTGGGTTAATGTTATCCCAAATGTGTGTAGTTCTTATGAATGTGTTAGATACATGTTGGAGTTGATAAATGTTGGTGTGTGAGATACATGTTGGAGTTTATATATTGGGCTATTATAATGTATGAGAAGTTATTAGATGACAACCAACTCACCTCACCCCACCACTATCCCACTCGCATACCTCTTTCCCCTATCCTCTACCCCTTAACCCTACCCCTACTACCTACATGGGGGGCCCTTATCTCCGCCTTATGGGGCGGTGACAAAGGGTAGGGGTAGTGGTTGGGGTTGGAGTGGTTGTAAGGAGAGTAAAGTTTTTGAAGGTTATAATTGGAATTTATTTATTTATTTTGGTAAATTGACATTTTTTATTTTAAAGTTAAATCATACGGAGTATTTAAACAAATGCACCAACCTTACCAAGTAAACATGCATTGATTAAGCACCTCTGGTGAACGGTGGGTGAGTAAAACATTTTGTAATAAACAGTGTTGGCTAGACTATGACGATTACAATGAATAATGCCAAGAACTTATAAACTATAGACAAGTTTGAGGATTTATTTTATAATTGCATTTTCTGAGTAGTAAATTTCCTTTCGCTCCGTAACACATAAAGAACTTCATAATTTTCTCTAATAAACCCATGAAGGCCTAGCCTTAAAAGTGGCATGTGACACTTTCCGGTTCGAGCCAATTATATAGACGAGTTAGAGCTCCATTTTTGTTGAAAAAGTGTGGCCTGACCGACCCGTTAATTAATTAAATTGTATTAAGTTTAGGCAGCCGACTAGACTGATTTTTTGACCGACTAGACCGACTAGGCCTATACAGTTACGGCCAACTAGGCCAATTAATGATCCGACTAGGTCAATTTTTCGAACAATGGCCTAGCCTAAACAAGTTCATACCCATTAACAATCCATACCGTTAATGAGCTCTATACATATCAAAATCAAAATCGGTAAAACCCTTAGACCAAAGACCATATCAGTATTTATCCGCTTCGGGTCTAATCTGGATTGACTGGTCCAGTTCGGTCTGGTTTTTGGATCCGGGCCAGATCGTGCTCAGCCCTATATATATGTATGATTCCATGGCCTAATAATAATAATTGTTTAAAAGTAGAAAAGTTATTAGTTTCTTTTTCAACAACACTCACCCAGAGTTGGCCATATTTTCAAATTGGGATCATATGCAGTCACGTGTCCTATACAATAAATAAATGAATAAACGGCAACATAAAACTCCCACTACAGTATGTGTAATAGTCGGAATGCGCCTATAACTTGGCCTCTTCTGACTCTGCCCAAGGAATGAATGAATGAATCAATCTTTTTTCTTCATAACTGTTCCCGTTAATTAAGTAATTAAAAAAACGCCAATTTTGCCTCCCCTGAGATGGACCCTCTCACTCTGTTCTGCACCACCGCCCTCATCGCCGGCGGCGTCTACTGGTTCGTTTGCATTCTGGGCTCCGCCGAGCAGAAGGGCAAGCGCGCCGTCCACCTATCCGGCGGCTCCATCGACAAGGACAATGTGCAGGACAAGTACGACCAGTACTGGTCCTTTTTCCGCCGCCCCAAGGAGATCGAGACGGCGGACAAGGTCCCCGCCTTCGTCGACACCTTCTACAACCTCGTCACCGATATTTACGAGTGGGGGTGGGGCCAATCGTTCCACTTTTCCCCCTCGGTTCAGGGGAAATCGCATCGCGACGCCACGCGCCTCCACGAGGAGATGGCCGTGGATCTGCTCGGCGTGAAGCCGGGGAGCCGCATTCTGGACGCCGGCTGCGGCGTGGGAGGCCCGATGCGCGCGATTGCCGCCCACTCCGGCGCGAAAGTCGTGGGGATCACCATCAACGAGTACCAGGTGAAACGGGCCCGGATGCACAACAAGAAAGCCGGGCTGGATTCTCTGTGCGAGGTCGTCTGCGGCAACTTTATGCAGATGCCGTTCCCGGACAACAGCTTCGACGGCGCGTACTCGATTGAGGCCACCTGCCACGCGCCGCAGCTGGAGGACGTGTACAAGGAGATCTACAGGGTATTGAAACCCGGATCCATGTACGTTTCGTACGAATGGGTCACAACCGAATCGTACCGACCCGAGAACCCGGAACACGTCGAGATCATCCACGGGATTGAGAGGGGGGACGCCCTGCCGGGGCTCAGAAGCTACAAGGACATCCCGGAGGTCGCCAGAAAAGTGGGTTTCGAGGTGGTGAAGGAAAAGGATTTGGCAAAGCCGCCGTCGAACCCGTGGTGGACGAGGCTGAAAATGGGTCGGATCGCTTACTGGAGAAACCATGTCCTAGTGACCATACTGTCATGGCTCGGAATAGCCCCCAAGGGGACGGTGGATGTCCATGAAATGCTATTCGTCACAGCTGACTATTTGACGAAAGGAGGAGAGACCGGAATATTCACTCCAATGCATATGATTCTGTGCAGAAAACCTGAAGAGGCCAGTTCTACTCCTGCCCCGGCTTCAGATTAGCAGCAGCAGATGGAGGTTAATTTAGTTTCTACCTGTTATCTGTTTTCTTCTTTGGTTATGAATGAATGAATGTGTTTATTTTCAATTTGGGTTTGTCTGGTTTAACTTATCAATTGTTGTAGTGCTATCAAATTCTATGCCTTGAATTGCTGGATTCAGATTTCTTATCCAATGTCATATTCAAATTTCTGGGCCTGAAATAGAAAGGAGCAATCTTTAGTACATGTTGTTAGAAGGAAAGGCATCTTTTTTCCAAGTAGTTTCATCAAATCATAAAGGAGCAATCTTTAGTACATGTTGTGAGAAGGAAAGGGCATCTTTTTTCCTGGTGGTATCATCAAATCATAAAAGATGCTTTTTTTAAAAGTGTTTGCATGCGTAGAGTGACCCAAGAAAACTCAAATACACACTTGGATCTCTCAACTCAAAAGAGGGAATAGGTGCTCCCACAGTCTCACACCAGGCTTAGAAAATTGGGAGGGAAGGGTAAATGAAGTTTTAACCGCACACTATTTTTTCAAAAGAATGGTTTAAGAGTTTGGTGTGTATAAGGAGTTAAACTCTCACACATTTATTGTTTGTGGGAATTACAGATTTTAACTCGAGCAACCAGTGCGAGTACACACTAAAATCTCTTTGATTATTGAGTGGGTTGATTGCATGTTCTTTTCGACTCCGCGTGCCCCTTAAAACTAGTCAAAGTTTAATTGACACGGGATTAATAAAGTACAAATTGTGTGATAGACGTTTGTGCAGCAAAAAAAGAATTAGCTAGAACTATAAACTCTCCTTTAAAAGAGAAAGTTGTAAAGTTAATAGGACATGAGACAATTTAAAAGAGAAAGTTTAGGCAAAATTTAGACGAAGGAAAGGGAAGGAAGTATATCATCAGTTGGGCTCATATTGTCATTCATTTATTGAATGATAAAAGGGTGTTATTCCCTGTTAACATTACTGTTATGTTTTAAAGCGAAAGTGTCATATTTGGGTGGTTGCAAACTAAATTTTGTTAAGTGTAATAAATGATCGTCACATATGATATATCCTATTAACAAATATTAGCAGCCCTTTAAAGTCAAATATTCACACTTCACAGTGAATTAGTTCGGTAAGAGTCACACTTCACTTAAACTTAAATTTTTGTTATGGTCTTGTTTGTTTGATCTAATCTTTTTGAACATAAATTAGCCATTTCAGTTCATTTAGATCCACCATTGTTGAACAAAAATATTACGAGTATTTAAACTTGTATTTGGCTTATGAAGATGAAAAAATATACGTAGTATTGAGATTTCTTCTTTAGTAGTTTAGAAGTACTTGTTTTTATTGTAGTTTGAGTAAGTTTGATTTTGATAATTGGATTTTTTACTTTTGATAGGCGTGTTTGAACTACTCATTGTAGGTTTAAAATTGTTCGTTTGTGTCTAGAGAGTCATTTGTTTTATACGAGGTGACTGATTTATGTTTGTAACTGTCTGGAGGTCTTTTTATGCTTTCTTTTATGTTAATATAAAAGGCGTTCTTTTGTTTTCAAAAAATAATTTGGTAAAAAATTGATGTAAAATAATCTAAGTATGGCTTTAATCAACACGATAAATATTTTGAAGGTACTGAATTTGAAGAAATAACTAAATCAACACGATAAATACATATACAACAATTTGAGATATAAACAGGTCAAAAATTTGATGTATTGATATAAAAG